GGGAACAGCAGAAGGGTAGTCATTAATGCATTGGTTAAGAAATAAATTCAATATTTACCTCATTGAGTCGTTCCAAGTATTGGGATGAAGGAAATCGTCAATGATATTAACAACAACAACAATAATAACTTCAGTTCTACTAACATTTATTGAGCATCAGCACATCTTTATGAGTGCCTCTTTTAGGCACTGAGGATACAGTAGAGACCAAGACAAAATGTCTACCTTAATCGGGTTTAAATTTTAGACAGAAGTACAGAAGTACACAAGTAAATATATAGTATGCCCAGAAGTGACAAGGACTTGGGAGAAAGCACAAATCAGATTGAGAGGATGAAAAAGTACCAGCTGATAGGATGGGGGCTGGCAAAGGGAATCCACTGGGATTTCACCATTTCCTCCCATTTTGTGCCATGTCTTCTTTTCACTATACCATGCAAGAAGTTTAGAAGTTCTAAACTTCGAAGTTTAGAACTGTAAGAAGTTGCAGTCTAACAGGGAAATCAAGGGAACCTATACATACATAGAAAAACTAGAAAACAATCTAAAGTAACTTATTACTAAGTTTAAAGAGATGTGATATGACTTGCCATAGACATAAGCATTAAGAGGGAAAAGTGGAGCACAGAGCAGCATATTGAAGTCGTATGCTTAACGTCTTACTTGATTGTAAGGAAAATAAATAAGATATAATGTCAAAGAGATTGTGTTATCTGATACACTGAAAGCCATGCACTTTTCTTTGGTATTTAATCATGTAAGAAAAATCATTTTATCATATAAAGTTGGTAAAAAGTGCTCTACCAAAACGTGAAAAAGATAGTTCAATAAAGCTATAGACTAGTTTCATATATGAATATCGATCCAAAACTTCTAAATAGAATGTTAGCAAGTTGAATTAAGGAGTATATCGAAAGAATGATATACCAGGACAAATCTGATTTTATTCCAAAAAATGTAAGGATGGTTCAACGTCAGGAAATCTGTCAACATACTCTTAAATCAACTGATTAAAGGAGAAAGTCCATGTTTTTAAAAAAATAGATACAGAATAAGAAGTCGTAAGATTCAGCGGCCATTTCTAAAAAAATATCAGTGTCAAATCAGATTAGGATAAAGTTAGTTTCTAAGATGGCTGCACTGAAGTCTTGAGCACAGTTGAGGACTAATAAAAAATAAAATGTAGAAGTAACTAATTCGTATAATTTTGATGTAGCAAAAAATCTCTTCTGAGGTGATAACATGAGCCTCTGAATTCTGATGGCCCCATCCACAGCCTCATCTTCTCACAGTTAAAGCAGAATAAACGAGAGCAGGCCTACAGTTTTCGGCTCCTCGTGTAGTCGAGTCCTCACTCTGCTCACCAGCCTTGGCATGTGTGCCACGAGGAAATATGGTGTTACCCAAATTGTGTCCATGCATGGCCTTCCTATGGTGTGTACTCTCAGTGGCACTCATTTACAGGTTTGATGATAAACCAAAGTAAAAGGAATTGAATCTTAATCATCATTCTCACCTATTTTTGAAGATGGGCCAGTCTTTGATGTCTGCTTAAATCAAACCGTAAAAAAATTATAAAATCTTATGGAAGGAAATAAAGTACTGACAAATATTTATTGAGTTCATATTACATTCCAGGAATTGCTCTCATTTCATCCTTGCTACAACCCAATTGGATAAATGCTATTATTATCCCCATTTAACAGGCAGGAAAACTGAGAATTGAGAGATTAAGTAAGATGCCTAAGATTACATTAAGAGCAGCAGTTGGGATTCACAAAAGCTTATGCTTATGCTTCCAAAAGCTTATGCTTTTCTCGATTTCTTTACACTGCAATGAATGGAGAATATGCTGTCTTCAGGGATGGAAGGACGTCATTCCATAACAAGTCAGTCCTCCCAAAGTTAACATGTACACCTAACAATCATTCAAATCAGAATGCCAATAATGTTTTTGTTTTGTTTCAAACTGGATAAAATTATTTTAAACTCTAAGAAGATGACTAAATGCTTGAAATATTCTAGAAAATTGTGGAAGAGAAAAATAGTAAGGCGACATCTTCTTTAGCATTTATACTTACTCTAAAGCCGCTGAATTACAACAGTATGATATTGGAATAAAAATAGACAAATGGTCATTGAAACAGACTAGAGGGCTCAGAGACAGATGCGAGTATTTGTGAGCACTTATTATAGAAGTGACATTTTATTCATTGGGAAAGGATGATTTGTTTTAAAAATGATACTGGCCTAACTGATAATCCACGTGTAGAAAAAAAATAGATCTTTCTATCATATTATATCATAACTAAATTCCAGTAAATTCAAATTTTAAGGTTAAATAAATTAAAAGCTTAGAAGAAATAAAGAATTTTACATAGTTTAAATGTTAGGGAGTTCTTTCCAAAAAAAAACAAAGAGAAACTCAGCAGACTTAAAAGAAAAGATAGCTATATGTAGCTAGAAAATAATTTGATCATTTTTTGCAGGACAAAAGACCCCTCACAATAAAGTTAAACTCCAAAAGACAGATTGGAAAAATACATCTGTAACACATATTATAGAAAAATACACTATTCCCCCATAAGATATGAAGAACTTCTACTAAGTTATGACAAAAAGACAATTCGATAGGAGAAAAGTATTTAATATGGATGAATAATTTAAATAAGAAGATGCACAAATAGTAATATTTGAAAATATTTATTCCTCACAAAAAGTCAAGGGAATGCAAATTAATTAAAGAAATAATTAAGAAATATTGGCAAAAACTAAAAGGAACAGTAATTTCAAGAGTTTGTGAGGACACAAATCATGGACACTTTGTGATAAAGTGAATTACTTCAACCTTTTCATCAAGTAGTCTGTCGATAATCATTAAAATTAAGCATGCATTTACCTTTTGGCATAGCAATTCTTGCTAATCTATTCAATACAAAATAAATACAATGGTATGCATGCATACACTTTCAAACATTGTTTTTAGCAGTAAAGTAATGTCAGTAGGATACTAACGGAATAATTTGTATTTGGCCATGAAAGGAATATTACGCAACAGCAAAAAAAAATAGGTACATCTATTGTTAAGTGTGGAAAGCAAGTTGCAGCTTAATGGGTATAAAATAATTTTTTTTTCTGTAAAAAAAACTAAAAGTGAGAAATCTTACATTATGTTTGGGTCTAGTTGCTGTGCTTATATGAACAGACCAGAAAGTATGGAAGAATACATTCCCAGTTATCACCTCTCACCTTGAGAGAGTGGAAATAGACAGGAATGGGAAGGGTAGAAGTCAAGGGCTATAATTAACTTTTCCTATATAAATCTTTGTACTCTTTCTCTGATTGCAAAATGCAAATCTAATATCTGAGATGAAAAGTTAATATGAACAATTTTAAAAGGAAAGGACATTTTGAAAGAGAACTTTAATTTTATTTCAACACATATTTATCGTACACTTTATACTATATGAGAAGCTTTCCAGGGAGTCAGTTGTTAAGAGAAATTGCTATATGGGGTCAAATTACCATACTCTCAGGCCTTCATAGCTTGTATTGATTAGGTAGTCTTAGGATTATACAATCTTATATGTAGACATGAGGACAAGAATGGTCTCTTCACATTAGACATGAAGGAAACCCAGACCCAGAGACGTGAAGTGTTTTGCTCAGATTCTCACAGCTTTAGTTGAATGGCCCGGATCAACTATCAGGAACATTTATTCTTAGCCCATTCTCAACCCTCTATGTCAATCTTCATAAATACTCATTCATAAAGTTCTTAAATATAGTTTGATGGAATTAAAAAAGGAAGGAAGTTACAATATTTATGTGTGTGACTTTTTTCAGGCTTGAAACCAACCAACTAACCTGCATTCATATATTTTTGCTTAAAATAGGCATCTTTGGAGGTGTCTTGATTCTTTAGGACATGCCACTCTTCAGGGATCTGAAGGAGTTCATTAAAGTCAGTGGCTCCTTAGCCACCTAACCAGCTACACACCTTTCCTAGTTTCTGAAAACTTATAATAACTAAACGGAAAAATGGAAATCTAAACAATTAAGAACTACTCAATTATAAGAAAGAATCATCATAGGCAAGGCATCTCTGAAATAAACATTTTATTTCTAACCATAAACTATAATTCTATGTAAAAATTTCAATGTAAAATGATTGTTTTAGAGAACACATCTCTTGTTTATTCAGGTGAGGAACACACTCTTTGGTCTGAGTTTTCTGCACTGCAATCATATTTCTTAATCCTTCCTGTGAACAATGGATATATAAAACATTAGGGGAGGGGCCAGCCTGGTGTCATAGTGGTTAAGTTTGCGCGCTCCACTTTGGCAGCCTGGGGTTTGCAGATTCGAATCCCAGGTGTGGACCTGGCACTGCTCATCAAGCCATGCTGTGGGGGTGTCCCATATAAAATAGAGGAAGTTTGGTACAGACGTTAGCTCAGCAACAATCTTCCTAAAGCAAAAAGAGGAAGATTGACGACAGATTTAGCTCAGGGCCAATCTTCCTCACACACACAAAAAAAAGATTAGGGGGAATTAAAAAGCCTGAAAGTTTTAATTGCATACATTTTGGCCACACTACGGTAAATGTGGTCATAAGCATAGGAAAGAATAGAATACAATATTTAGCTAGCCAGCTCCTTAAAAATCTTGGACTCATTGATTTTTAATAATGGCTCCAGGATATTTCCAAGAGGGCAATCAAATTAGATACCATTTCTTTTAGCCTGCTGACTATAATGACAATGGCCTTCTCCACCTTGTTATAAAAATACTTCTAAAAATGTTCTGTAGAAGTGGATTCATGTCTTCCAACTCAGTAGGGTTGAAAAGATGTATTTTTCGATCTGTAACTTTTTAAATGAGAAAAACAGCTAATTTCTGTATGTAAACATTTTATAGTAGAGAAAATAGGGATTTTTTTTTTTCAGATCTTCAAATAACTGTCTCCAGAGTCACCCTGTCAAATCTCTTAATCTCTGCTGATAGATATCTTATTCAAGTTTTATCCTATGAACGCCTTTTCTCAGCCTCAATACCGAGTTCCAAATCAATTCACTCTTAGCTAAACTGCTCACACAGACTATCTTCTAAGTTTTAATTCTTTCAAGTACTGCCAAACCTTGACCTGAACTCTTAGAATGTTCTGGTTTCGAGGGGCAAGGAAGTGGTGTTCCACAAAACAGGTTGAATTGAGCTGTAATAACGCTTCCATTTTTCAGTGACATTACAGTACCAGGAAGCCCCCTGAGTCCGACCTTGACTCATTTTTGAGCCCACGGAGAGTATTGTACCACTCAGACAAATAGAATCCTGTGTCTTCTCTACAAGCTTTGCTTTCTTTACATTTCTTTGATCTTTTCTACATCCAGACAAATCCTCTATGCTCATAAGGAAAGGAACGCATCTAAAACTTCTCTTCACTGCCAGCACAGTGTGGAACTTTCCAGGAAGTTTTTAAAATTAGCAATGATTTCAAGCCATGTAGGAACACTTGAGCGAGCCAGCCCTGGTGGTCTGGTGGTTAAGGTCCGTTGCTCTCACCCCAGGGCCCAGGTTCGTTCCTGGCCAGGGAACCACACCACCCATCTGTCGGTTGTCACATTGTGTTGCTATGATGCCAAAAGTTATGCCACTGGGATTTCAAATACCAACAGGGTCACCCATGGTGGACAGGTTTCAGTGGAGCTTCCAGATGAGACAGACTAGGAAGATGGACCTGGCCACTCACTTCCAAAAAATTGGCCATGAAAATCTATCAAGAGCAGTGGAACACTGTCTGACACAGCACCAGAGGGGAGAGGATGGCTCACAAAGACCGGGCAGCGTTCCACTCTGCTGTCCACAGAGTTGCTGGGAGCCAGAGTCGACTCCCCAGCACTAACAACAACAAAGTAAAATTTGAATAGATATTGGGCCGTTGTTAATTATAAATTGGGACAGTAATCATCAAATGACTACCCAACTGACGTGTAGTGGGAGTTCATTTTGTCACCTTCTCTGTTCTAATTTTTCTATGACTCCTTTCTAACTTTGATTTTTTTATAGAATCACACACGTAGACGTTAATACATCACTTTGTGGAAATCCGTCTTTTAAAGTTTCAAAACAACTATATGCTAAGAGAAAAGTATAATCTAATCGGCCATGACTACAATTACTTACCGACCTCCGTCTCTGTGTACATGGCATTAAATGAGTATCAATTTAGGCCCCACTGTCAAGAAGCTTCTAGTCTATTTGGGAGATGAAATGTATACCATAAAATCTGAGGAATATTGTAAGGCAACAATAAAAGAGATGAGTCATGATAGCATATAAATAAGTGATTTTTAATGGCTTCTGCACATTTCCTAGGGTGCTTATTCCCCGAAAGAGCATGAGTATGTTACCACCACACCCTTACAGAATTTAGCCAGAAAAGGAATGTTAAACACTGTGATATTCCATTACAAAATGTTCTTCCTTTTTCTGATGTTCAAGTGCAGGAGTTAGTTAAACAGGATCCTCCTTTGGCTGCCTTTTTAAAAGCTTCCTATGTATCTCTTATCTTTGAGAAGAAGAGGTCTTGTTATTGCTTTATTTTCTACATTATGCACAAGTGAGACTCAGGAACTCAATTGTGCATCCTCGGAAAAAGCAAATAATTATTCCCCACCCCCAACCATCCCAAAAACAAAAGAGTAGTGACATGTTCAGACTACAGGCTAACAATGCAAAGCAAGGAGTTCTGGTGTTTCATTTAATTGAGTTATAAACAAGAAAGCTATCAAATCCTGCCACTGCCCCATTGATGCATGGGGACGTGTGAATTTTCTCCGTGTGTGTGCTCTGTGTCCTTCAGGACCCCCACGGTGGGGATGAATCACCAAGGTGTGTATTAGTCTGACAGTCCTAGAAAGTATCGAGACTAAAAGCCAAGTGCAGGAAACAGCAATTTCATCTAGTTCCTGGTGTCCTGCTAATTGATCCCAAACCCTTCATTACTGTCTAGTGCAAAGGGCGAAGGCGAAAGTAGGCATTTAGAAAGTGATTTAACTGAAAACGAGACAGAGCAAAATTCCAGGCCTGCTGAACTGCAGTTGCTCTGTTCCTGTGTTGTCAGCCTGATTCTAAGTTTATCTGTTATTTCAGGTCACTTGGAACCCCCCACTCATCCAGAATGGAGAAGTGCTTCGCTATGAGATCCGCATGCCTGACCCTCACATCACGATAATCAATGTTACTTCCTCGGTGTTCAGTCAAGTGGTTACTGGCCTGATTCCTTTCACTAATTATTCTGTCACCATTGTGGCTTGCTCAGGTGGTAATGGGTATCTCGGAGGATGCACAGAGAGTTTACCTACCCATGTTACCACTCACCCCACCCTACCGCAGGGTGTTAGCCCGTTGTCGGTGATTCCACTAAGTGAATCGTATGTTGGGATTTCTTGGCAGCCACCATCCAGGCCAAATGGACCCAATTTGAGGTAAGAGAGAGTGACTGTGTTTTAGGATTTTGCTATGGTTGTCTTATCTCTCCGGGAAGGAAGAAAGGAAACTTCTACTCATGTACGAACATAGGACTAATTCCTTCTTGGGTATCTCCCATTCGTAAATTTCATACACTTTCATATTGTGTATCTTGACTTATATGGAACGATAAAAGTTCATCAAAGTGGAAATACGACAATATTGTCAGGAACTAAGAGCTCTTGAAACAACAATCACTATTCTCTAACAATTCTCTATGTAATCCTTCTCTTGATTTTCAAAGTCTATTTTTATATGTGTTAAGCAGACTTGATGCATGTTCTAAATGATACATTTGCACAGATATGCCTCAAAATTCCAAAGCTAACACAATAATTCTTTGGCACGTTATTAATCTAGAAATTTGCAAAGCATGTGGTGAGGGACATAGATAAGATGTATGAAAAGAATTTTGATTCTGAACCGGCTTTATAACAATTTGACACTTCGCCAAGACTATGGAGTTGATAATGTTATCATTGTTTATAAAGTATTGATGGTAGAAATCTTAGGAAATCATTAACTTTTAAGCTATTTGTATTTCAACTTTGTGTGTAACTTGCAATAAAGTTTTAGCAAATCTGACATAGAAGAAAACTAAAATGTTATCATTCTTACTGATAACAGCAAACTGTGAATGTAACTAATTGTTTCAAAATAGTTGAATACATAACACTTGAACCAGAAAAAAATGATTATCTGGAAACAGCTTTGCGATTGTAAATTAAGATATTTTCTTTATGTTTACACAGCCACACCACACACTGGTACCATGAAACAACCTGAATTTTGGTAATATCATTAGTTGAGATAATCCTGATGTTTCTGCTTGTCTTTTGCTTTAGATATGAGCTTCTGAGACGTAAAATCCAGCAACCACTTGCATCAAATCCCCCAGAAGATTTAAATCTGTGGCACAATATTTATTCAGGAACTCAGTGGTTTTATGAAGATAAGGGTCTTAGCAGGTGAGATTACTAAAACTATAAAAACAAATGCTGGCATTTAGTTTGAGGCATGTGGAATAGTTCAAAGTATCTTAGTGTCTTCATTGTGTGACCGTGTTATCAGTTATGCAATAAAACATGTTCCGTTATTATCTGAGGCATTAATCACCCAACCGCAACAGTCAGCTTGTTTAATATTTTCCATCTTAACTGCATGCTTAAAATAAGCCTTTTGAAGTCGAATTTGTAGATGTTTGAGCCTTAACCTATTACCTCTGTCACAGCTCTAGCCAGACATGAAAACTTCATAGAGGAATTTGGAAATATTGAACACACGCAAAACTGGAGGGATGACTGGCGCTTGAAAATGCTTGCTGCTTCTGGGCAATCATTGTTAGAAGTCGTTGATTCCGTCCGCAAAATTTATTTAGTTAGCAGACTTGGGACTTGAAAGAAATCAATCTAGAGTTCAAAGAAATCAAGAAATAGACAAATAGGCAATGTCAGAAAAAGGACTTCGTGGGAGAGTTAGGAGACCTGGGTCCTGTTTCATCTTGTGCTAGAGAACTAGCTTTGTGACCTTCAGCAAGTCACTTGACTTCTCTGGGCTTCACTTTTATGGTCTATAAAATGAGGCGATTGGATGGAATTCAAATGACTTTTAAACCTCATGAGTCCAAGCAATGTAATTGCATTTCAAAAAATCATATATTATTTTATGAAACTTTCTAGACCTATTTTTCAATAAATTTTCTATCAGGTTGATTATTTTTCTAGAGTCGCCACTGACTAGCTCTTCTCTGAATGCTGTTTAAACTCTGGCCTTGTTTCCCACCTCTTCCTCACTGGACCTCTGTGTTCCAGCCACCTCAGCATTACTTTCAGTACCTCTAACGTGCAACAGTCGCTCCCTCGGCTTCTCCCCATTGCCGTCATTTTCCTTTGTCTGGCTAGATCATCCTCCGGGTCTTGGCCAAGAATTTTCCTAGCGGGCTTCTCTGCCCACTCTCTCCCTGGTCTGAATCAGCTTCCCCTTTAATGCATTTAGCTCAGCGTATCTTTTTGTTCAACCTAAATTATGAAGGTCATTAGACTATCCGCCACTATTTTTCTATTCATTATTTACTTACTCCGGCATCGCTATATAGTTGTCATTTCAGTTGAAGAACTTCGTTTATTTAGCAATTTCTTTTTGCTTCCTATATGCAGAGAGGCACTGTAATAAAAAGCAAAAGATGACTACAGCATAGCCCTAACCCCCAAAGAACTCACAGTCTAGTGGAGGAAACACACACACACTCACAATTGTAAACATGTTAATTGCTATCATCACAGTTAACTACAGTCACCAACATTGCCTAGGAAAATCATATGGAAAAGTAGTTGTCTATGATTTGTGTACTCTAAGTGCCTTAAATATAACAATTTCTAAACTAAATAGAACTTTATTTAACATGACTGAATCTGATTTTCAGCCATGAGCTGTTTGGCAGAAAAACGGAAAGTTAATTTTCTTTCTTCACAGAAGAAATAAAAACTTATTAAAGAATTAAGACCAAGTCCGAAAATTTGTTATTGACTTTTTAGTGAGGCCTCTAAGGACTTTTAATGAGAAGCCCAAATCTAAGATTTAAGGAAGGAAATCAAATTAAACCCCTACAAATTAAATTGAAGCGTAAGTTGACATAAACACACTGATGACAGCTGCTTCTAGAAGGGACGTGTACATCTAACAAAATGTGCTGAGGTGATGTTTTGACTAGCTTCATAATGCTAAATGTCAAGGGACTTTTTTTTTCTGCTAGGACTAGCAAAGTTTTTTGTTGTTGTCAAATACTGCTACAACCCACATAACCAGCTTGTGATAAAAAGCAATATGCATTTCTTTTTAATATTCAAACAAACGGCGTGAGTCTTCATATTGTGAGAATGTTTTTTCTAGCCCTCTCCCTTTGTAAGTCCAAAAAAAGCTGGAGGCCACGTTAGCCCAAGGAGAGTTCTTGCACAAATCTGAGAAAAAACTGGAAATTAGTCCTCTGGTGGGCGCTATGTGCTGCGCCAGGTTTTCTGTTGAAAACAACTGATCTTGTTTGGTCAGGGGCTGTCGTTACCCACCTTGACTGCCGGCAGCCAGGGTTCACCACCCCTGCTGGTGGTCTAGCCGTCTCTCAGATTGCAGGGGTGAAGACCTGAGGGCTGGCTCATTTTGCTGCACACCTCTGTGGCAGCCCCTTAGCAACACTACCCTTTGGTTTATGTTTGTCTTGTTGACTTATTTGTTTGACTGGCTATTTTGGGGGGGAGAGAAGTGATGGAATTCTAATGCCTTTAGGAGGAATACATAATTTCCTCTTCTCCCCAGACTCCACCATTCCTTATTCCTTTCTTGACTTAGATCTACATAAATAAAGGGAACATTGAAATGTTTCTTCCCATGTTGACCTGATGTCACCGTAGCTACACCTAGAATCAGTTTTTAAAATGGACTTCTCTTGATAGAAAAAGTAAAATTAACTTAAGATTCACTGGACATCCTTCCAGGAATATATTTGTGAGAGTAAATATAAATTGACGTCAATTTCCTTGGTCAAGTGGTCTATTTTGGTTAGCTATATCTTTATAATATATTAAAAAAACACCAATTTAATCTAAAATGTTATTATATTTTTAAATTCAAATTCTAGTAGTTATTCAGATTCTAGTAGTTATTTTTTACCTTTATATCTCCACGTACAAGGTGGAATATTGAGCTAATCGTCCGATAATATAGTTTAAACAAAAATGCTTTTGTTCTTATGAATATCTTAGGTAGGGGGTGATTTGTCTGACTCACACAGCTGGTTGCCTCATTGTTGAATTTTGCTCTGTTTGTGTGGACACGAACTCGGTGTAACTGTCATTTGTCAGTTTCTAACTTTTCTTCCTTAATAATTGTGTGCAAAATGGCCAAGTTGTGGTTGCTGGGGGAGCCATAACTTTGGGTTTCCTGACATTTTCATCACTGGGAAAATCTGGTGAACGTGCAGTTTCACCTGATGCTGCCAAGGTGAGTCAGGTAGGGTTTAGCAAGCGGGCAGTCACCTCCTTCATTTTAAGGATGTGATTTTCAGCATCTTGCAGTACCTTGGTTCCTGAGCAATCAGATAAAACTGTTGAGAACACAGTCATGGCCTGTCCTCCTTTTTGTTCTGGATTTGATGAAGGAAGAGCAAGTTACAAGAAATAATAAGTTCTTTTTTTCTGTTTTAAGGAAAATATTGACTTGTAGATTATAACAGTTGCCATTGGATTTATGAAGGGAAGTATGTTCTCACTCCTAGTACTTTCAATTATTTATAAATTTCTACAAATATTTCTTTTGCAATGACAGTCTGGAGAGACCTTCATGTGACTCCTCAAGAATTCACTAATTGTATTCTCTTTAAATGAAAACATTCAAAGTTAATAAATATTCATCTTGTTTTGAAAGAGTGGTTGGCCTTGATTGTTTTCAAGTTTAAGTGCTTAAGCTAAATATACTATAAAAGCTAAGTTTAAATCTTACAGATGCAGATTCTAATTTTTTTTAACTTGCAAAAATGAGATGTTTCACTAGGGCTGGCCACGTGGCATAGCGGTTAAGTTCATGCACCGTGCTTCAGCTGCCTGGGGTTCACTGGTTCGGATCCCAGGTGCAGACCTATACATTGCTTATCAAGCCATACTGTGGCAGCCGTCCCACATGTAAAATAGAGAAAGATGGACACAGATCTTAGCTCAGGGCCAGTCTTCCTCAGCAAAAAGAGGAAGATTAGTGGCAGATGTTAGCTCAGGGCTAATCGTCCTCAAAAAAATACAAAAATAAAAAATAGAGATGTTTCAAGCCCTAAAAGAGGACATGGTTTCTGGGCGATAATATTCGAAAGAGTATAAGTTTCATTCTCCTCCTTCGTAATGGGATTAAATGAGTACAGATGACTGACTTCCTGCTTTGATAATACAGGAAGACTGGGTCAGTTCCAGGACACACATTCCTATAACATGAAGATATTTAAGTTATAGCTATTAAGTATGGAAGTTAACTTTGCACAAATAGAGGGCGAGTGGAAGGAAAGCCTTTCTCCCCTGACCACCAACATAAGGTAGATCCTGTTATTTTCTTCTTTAATATCAAAATGTAAATAAAAGTCAAGTTTAGGAACGAAAGCCAACTTCTGTCAACATTGGTGTACTTAACAATGTACTTAATTCAAAATGAGTGAAAATGTATCTATTTCACGTTTAAATTAAGTTAGTAGAGTCATGGTGCTTTTCTCCATTGGGATTTTTTTCATTGGTCTAAATTTACCTCATGCTATCCTTTTCTAAGGATGTGAAAACTTACCTCACGTAAAAGAAGCCTCTGAATCTGGAAGGATGCATTGTGTCATAAGAGGTTTTAATCCCTAATGTTGTCTTCAAAAAAAAATTCTATTTCTTTGTTTGTGTTTCTTGCCAATGTTGATGAGTAGAACAAACACAGAAATTACAGCAAAATTATTTGATGTGTGACATTCTTGTATTATAAATATAGATAGACACAGGAATATGACAGCTGCAACTTTCACTAACATCCAAGATGTATTGTAAAAACTTTCAAGAGTGGTAATCATTATTCTTCAATTTCAAAAGCCGAAATCATCAGCAGCGTTTTTAGAAAAAAAAATCTTTCAGCAACAAATAAGTAGTGAAAAGAAAAAGTAGCCCCCATCAACAGAAAATTCAAACCACTGCAGATTTCAGCAGTGGAAACAGTGTTGCATTTTTATTTGTTTGCTTATTTATTTATTCCCACAAAGGACTTGAGGCTGTAAGGAATGGTGTGCTATCAGAGGTTTCTCAAATCCTTTCGTGTGTAACGTTGTACTCAAGAATGCGTTGGGTTGTGGCTGATATGAAGACCAGTTAGTGGAAAATGCAACTGAATAGCCTGCATTTTCAGAAGCATGATTTATATTGGTGACTATATTGACACATGAAATCTGTTAGGACATCAATAAAGT